GTGAATCAATCATTGTTTTTGGTTATACTTTAATTTTCATTTCACACAAGCAAAGAATATTTATCCAAAAATTATTACACTTCTCTAAATGCTCATGAGCAAACTTCATCTGAGAATCCAAGTTTTTTTTTTTTTTGTTTTAACAAACATCTTTTCTGCAGGATAAGAGTGAGAATGATCGTCCCCAAATTATTGTCTTTGCTCTAATTCTTGATCTTTTACCATCTCTCTGCTTTTCCATCATCATAGCAGTGTTTTTTTTTGTTGTTTTTTGTTGATGCAAAACCAGGATTAATCTTGTACAAAATGAGGTGGACCCTGCCTGACAAAAAAATCTCAGTTTACCTCTCCACATATGCCTGTCACTAGCATCAGCTAGTTTTAAGCTCCATTTTTCCATGTTCTTACAAAGACCATCCTTCCAAGTCATCTTGAGCCAGCCTCATCTACCTTTAACTCTCATCTCAAATAAACTTTTATCTAAAGTATTAGGTATTAATCAGGCTCAATGATGATTAACTTCAATGAGAATCAGTGTTTCAAAATGACATGACTATCAGCCCCTTAATTTCTGGAAGACATTTTCATTTTTCTTATGTGTTTCAGCAATAACCATTAAGCAGTTGCAGTTGACCCGAAGAAACAAAAGCCATTATTTAACTGTGTTCAAGTCTACAGTTGCACAGAATTAACTCAAGGTCATCAAAGCCTAGCTTCTCAGATAGGAGTTTGACTGATCTCGTAACACAACCAGCCTGTTGTCAAGTAGGTTACTCACTATTTCCATTCTGCCCATATTACCTTCAATATGTTTTGTGTGTGTTATATTCTCTGGATCTTCTTTCCTCATTATATGTCACCAAAATTTCAACAGCCTCTTTCTGATTTCCTTGTAGTTCCCCTGTTCCTTAAGACTTCCCTGATAATCACATATTCCATTCATTGGTGTTCTTAGCATCTGTCCTTAGAATCCCCATCTGTATTGCTTTGTCTCCTTTTATTCATAAGGAAATCGTCCAGTGTTCACTAACATACAGGAGATGAAATGTTACACAGCAGTTTAATACAGTTTTCTTTGCTTCTATTTATATTTTCTTATGTCTTAATAATTTGCTTAGTTTCTAGATTGATTTATTAATCTGTATTTTACAGATTATCATCCTTTTGCAGGTTATTTAAAGGCAGAATTTTTTTTTACATTCTAAGAAATTTTTTTCATTTTTTTGTAGATAATAATGGTTTACTGATACAAGTTTTTACTAACTAACCCATAGCTAGGGAGAGAAGTAGTGGAGTCATACCTAATCAGAATTAGATAAATAAACAAGAAACTATGTGGATATAAAGTGGGTGATCATTTCTATATTACAATCAGTATATAAACTGATCACTCATTTTGTAACTACAGTATTTTCTATACATTTATATTACCGAGAATGTAAAGAAATATAAAAGACATGCCTGTGCAGCTAATTAGTATTTCATTGTTTGAATGATTTGTTTTCTAGAGTTTATCAACCCTTTCCAGGTTATTTAAAGCCAGATAATATTTATAGATTGTAAGAAGTTTTTGGAAATAATAATGATTTTACTAATATAAATACTACTAATTAACCCATAGGTGGAGAGAGAAGTGGTGGATTTGTACCTTTTCCAATGGCACTTGTGCATAAGTGAATATAAAAAACCCGACTGGAATTGGAACTCAGCTCACTAATTTCTATTCCGAGCTATTATTCATTACGCAACATACACATCCAAGCTTACAACACCTGGTATGCATAAGTGGTCACCCACCTAGGTATTAATCAGGCTCAATGCTGATTAATTTCAATGATCATATGAGAATCAGTGTTTTAAAATGACATAGCCATCAGTCCCTTAATTTCTGGAAGACATTTTCATTCTTCTTATGTGCCTTCAGATTTCAACTTTCTCTGATTATAAACCTCCGGTTCCATGCCATTCCTATTTTTCCTAAAATTTCCTCAACATTAAGATATTTTTTTTCATGGAATTCTTAGTATTCCTTAGTAGAACCCAATCTTTGTTCAGCATTAACTGCCATAGAAGGGTATTAAATATTACATAGCAGTTCAAAACTATTTTCTTTGTTTATCTATCATTACAAAGAGTTCTTTTTGTAACCAATGATCCTGCAGCTCTTAATTCATTTTAAATCTACTTTTAAATCTGCATTGGATTAACTTCATATTGACTGATAATTTTCTCAAGTTATTAGGTTGGTGCAAAAATAATGACGTAATAATGTCGTTTTTTGACGTTAAAAAATACGTCAAAAAACGACATTATTACGTCATTATTTTTGTACCAACCTAATACTTATTAATAATGTTTTGTGGAGTACCAGTTCAAGAAAGATTCCTGCTGGTGCCAAACTTCTTCCAGGTGAGATGAATTACTCCAGTAGTACATACAGGAATATTTAACATATTGGTTGGCTCATTGATTTTGTTTAGTGGCATATCAACACCTCTATGGGTTATTTAATGCTAAAATCTAAATAATTTGAATGCAATTTTATGGCTTCAACTAAATTTATTTTGAATGCAATTTCATGCCTTCAACTATGTATAAAATATATTGGTGGTCATTTTACTAATAGTATGTATTATGTTTCCTTTGTTTTTATTTTTTCAATTTTTATTTACATAAAAATGCATTTCTGGTATTTTTACTATAAAAATGTATTTTTGTACTTTCGTAGCGTTTTGTTTCTGTTTGGGGGGATGCAGTATTTGCCCATAGCTGGGACCCTAACAGGTGCTGCTCCTCACTTCTCACCTGGGGGAGGGTCAGGGTGGATGTGGGAACAACTATAATTAAGAGATGGTTCCAACACTCTCCAAAACCACCAGTCTCCTTTGCTGCCAGATGTAGTTTATCATCCTACCCAGGACATATTAACATATTGGTAATAGTTCAAGAACTTAAAATTTAAATGTTGCTTCTGTCAGTCTTTTGTTTGGTAGAGTGTTTTTTTCTTTAAAGCATGACAGCTTCATTACAAGATGAAATCATGAATGACAAGTGACATGGCATTTTATCCTAATGAAGTTCTAATGGAAAATTTTACAAGTTTCTATGCAAGTAAAACTTAGTAACTCCTTGCATTTTAGTGGCTTTAGTAAGTGAAATGATTAAAAAAAAAGTAAAGAAATGTCTAGAACTAAAATCCTTTTTAAATAGTATTTCTATAAATTTTTAATTTTTGCACCATTATTTTGTCTATTTTATTCAGTATTGCTGTGGTAAACCCTCTTACAGTATAATGAACTCTTCCTCCTCTCATAAATACAAACTGCGAGAGTCGGATGAGAAGAGGGTGAAGTGGAGTAGTAGACGCAGTGCTAATCTACTTATTACTAACACTATTGTTTTGTATATATCTTCAATATACTTTTTCAACCTACCTTTGTCTTCCTCATTTTTCTTTCTGGTCCCTAAACAGGCCACAACAAGTATTGTATGTTTTAAAATTAATACACAGATGGCATAACCGTTATCAGCATAGTAAGTGAAATCATTTAGCCAAGTTCAGATTGGCCTAGTCTGTTGCATTCACTTTCGCATTAATGCTATTGGAAAAGTGTATGATAAAAGTTCACCAAGTTCAAATCTCCATGTACACACACACACACACTGCCTCCATGCAAAAATCTGTTCATTTTTTTTAGAGAAAGTTGTTTTTATAGCAGTTTTTTTTTCAGGTTTTTTGATTTGTGGAGATAGAAACAGATTGTTTTTTCTATAGTCCATTCTTTTAATTTGATCCACGTTTGGTTAGCCTCATTCAGTCATTCAGTGGTGAAGCACTTTTCTCAAGAACACATGGCCCAGTAAATAAAGATGTTGGTTAGATCTAGTGACTCGACCCAAAGAGTTGTGAGTTCAATACCAGGTCACAGCAGTGGTGAACCAAAAACTTGGAGAGTTGAGTTAAAGGTAAATAACAGAGACATCCAGAAGAGGCATGGCACGTGGAACTAGAACAATCTACCCCAGTGGATGAAATAAAGAGTTTGGTTTGAAATTCCAATCTCCTGAAGAAGTCTGAATAATGTAAATAATACAAGTAATCATAATACCTCATCTCAGAGATACAGACAGCCATTTTTCTTTCATTCTTTTCTTTTTCTCTTCTGCAAAAGTAGCATGCAACATGGAAAGAATTTCAGTGTTCAGGCTATGTCACCATTTCCTTCTGTACAGAAAGGCATGAATCCACTTATTCTACCATTAGTGATGAGTGAAATAGAAGGTTAGACTGACTTGTCTAGTCATGTGTGGAAGCCAGTCTAGGAGAAGGAATACTCTGAATTCAAAACCACGGAGCAGGCAACAGGAAAGTACCTCATTATAATTCTGCAAGAAGACATGACAATTCACAGATAAAGACATGGAATCTGTGGAGACTCATGAACACTTATGTCCTGAAGTGACATGGCATTTAAGAATGGTAAAAATAAATTGAGTGGTTTATGTAACCATGAGTCACATCCAGTCTAGAGGAAGGCAAAATCTAATTTCAAATCACTCATTCCCAACACTTCATGAAAATTCACAGTTAATAAAGAAAAAGCAATCTGTGGAGAGCCAAGATTATTTACATCCTGAAAGAACATGATATTACAAAAATGTTTTAAAATGTTTAAAATTAAGTATTTTTCTCAGTAAATGCTAATTTAAAATCAACATAACATTTGCTGTAAGAATATAAATTAAGTACCATCTCATATTCAAATATCTGACCACTGAAAGCTGAATATTTTTACTGTGGTGTTTAGTGCGATAAAAAAAAAAGGAAGTATCTCTCATTATCAGTAACACAAAAAGCAGAGCTTTTGCAGAAGTTTGATCACAGTGTTACCATGCAGCATCTGACTGAGGAATATTATGACAGAACAAACACTGGGACCATAAACTAACAGGAATCAATAGAAAAACACTCCATATAACAAAATAAACTACAATACCTAATGTCTGTAGTTTTTCTTTATCCAACTCTCTGGAAACTATCTTACACCACTGTTGG